AGCCTGGGAGTGCGTAAAACACGAAAAAGTGCACTCTCACAGTGTCCCGTTTTGTATATATGTATATATATATATTTATGTATATACACATCGATACATGTATGTGTTTATGTGCATATGTATGTATACACACAGACGCTTACACTTGCACACGTACACGTGTAGGTATATATATATATATACATACATACATACACACATACACACACACACACGCATATATATATATATACACACATACAGATGCATGTAGATATTCTGGTATCTTAGTTGCATTGACGGTTGCAAGTATGTACTCGTAGGTTTCACGGACTAGGACCTATCGGAATGAGCCCTGGAGTCGCCAAGAGCTGCAATCGTGGGCAGTGGAGGTCAGTTACACATTCCGTTGTTGAGCTTCACACTGATTGGCAGTCGTGACGCCGTGCCGCTACCCATGATGTCAGTTCGGCACTCACGCTTTTTGGAAGACTGTTTGATGGCAAGGGTGCAGTTCTTCTAGCTTGACCCTACTGATGGGTGGCACTGTTTCAGCCGTGAAGCCTCCTCCAGTTCCTTCTCACGCCCGATTTGGTTGACGATGGTGAAGTTTGCTGTTGGGAACATATCATGCATTTTTTTAAAGAATCATAGGAAGGGACTCAGTTTTCAGTTGTGGTGCACGCATAGATGGCGAATGTCATCAATGCAGCTCTGCCGGGGTAGCTCCACACGAGCGCTGCAGCTGGCTCCACAAGGGCAAGCTAAGAGTCTTTCCTGGAAGGACGTGGGCGAGTTCATTGCCGCCTCAAGTGCCTCGAGTGGTCTTCCGCACGGCTGGGAGGCCGGACTTCATGGTTACGGTCCTGGCAAGGGAAGTCAAGCCCAGGACGTCCAGACGAAAGCACGAGAGGCTTTTACCGCTCAAGTCCGGCACGAGCAGATAGCTGCAATGCCGGAGCCGTTCAGAGCATTGTGCTGTCTGAGCAGCTTCATGCACTCGCACGGAGGCGCTCTCCGCGGAAGATGGGGCTGTGTACTACCACAACCTTGTCTCAGGCAGGGGAAATCTCAGACCTTTGAGGGATGACGGCTGCGAACGTTGCGGGATCCGTTGTAGTGGAAACTCCGCCCCAACCAAAACGAAGCCGTAGGCCCAACTAGGCACCTGGGAATTCGCCAAGCGCGGCAAGGCACTACGCAGTGGGAGGTGCCGGCGCAGGATGCGGCGGTATGTGCAGGGTGGAGGCTCTTCCAAGCAGACGACGGAGGCCCTGTTGCGGAGTGGTGTGGGTTGGGGTTTGAGGCTTTCGAGTTGCAGTTTGATCTGAGTTGAGTCTCTGGAGAGCAGTCGTCAGATGTTCCGATTTGCCACCCTCTCCATGAAAGCACCCGTTCCAAAAGACTGCTCCCTCGAGTTGGAAGCGATCTTCAGGGTGGTTCTACCACAATCCCTACGATGGCCACGGCATTTGGTGGCCGGAGCTTCCGACGTATCCGGCAGCCCCTGACTCCCTCGACAGCCTGCGCAAGGAGGGGTGGAGGGTCATGCTGGCCTAGGCTTAGGACCGCTTTGGAACTCTGGGAGACTGCTTTTGGGCCTTTGGGATCTTGTTCCACTCGAGCGAGTCACGATGGATGTGCTTAGCCTGAACTTGCCCGAAGCAGAGCGAAGTGAAACCGTTCGAGCGATTATTAAGCAGCTCTGCAGTTGGAAATGTTGCCGCCAGGACGTCTCAGAGGATTGACTTCTGCGGCAGAACTGTGAAACCTAGGTTGTGGCTTGATGTTTTGTGCTCTGCTGCGGCAGTGAGATAATGAAGTTGACTCGTGCATGCCGCGGATTGGGTGCTGGCCCGTTTGAACGACAACCCCCTTTCTGCTGCTAAAGCACGAGGCGCATGTTAGTGTGTCACCCAGGAAAATGTGCAGCAGTTGCTGGTCGTTGCTGCATGCCCAGCCCGTCGCACCCTCACGAGAATTGGAACGCATCTCTGTGTCAGGTCTACACCCGGGCTGCTACGCCAAACCTGTCGTGCACTCGGAGTCAAGCACTGCTGACCAAGCTGACTGATCGAGTCATACTCCTAGGCGGTGGAGCTACCGCGGAGAAGACGAGGTGCATCCTAGGGACCGTGCAAAATCGCTGGAAGGTCCGCTTTTCTTCGTCCGGATGCCATCTGCCAGATTTCCCAAGATCTCCTTCAAGTCTGGTCTGAGCTTAGTCAACTATACTCAACTCCTACATGAACCCGAGCCCGTTTAGACCTTGAAGCTTCTTGAAGCCTCGCTTGCCGCATTCAGTAGAAGCCTAAATAATTACCAATACTGTTCCTTAGGGCCTTGGCGTTCCGTTTAACTATACCCTAGTATACCCCTATAGCCCTAGTGTAGTTCTTAAGTCGCCAGTGCCGCCAGCGCCTGTACTAGACCCAAACCGTCCCAGAAGTTTCCAAAAGTTGAACGCCACTCACTGGCAGGTCGTCTTGTGGGCTGATGAGGACATCCTGAGTGGCCGGGAGCTCACGGCTCCGGGCTCAGATTGTGTATTGAAGGAACAAGAGACTGACTCCGCGCTGCATATGCTGCATGCTACTCTCCGCATCTCTCCGCCATGTTTTCAAGCCCGGAAAATTCCTGGCGGTCACTGGGAACGAAGAGGGGGAGCGGGCAATCCCAGCATCTAGAGAATGCGCTAAGAAACCACTATTGCTCGTTCCTGCATGCGAGAACGCGAAGACGAGCCCACTGCCGTGATTTCAGTCTCGCAGCATCGAAGCGTATACATGTTCAGACCTGCTGGAAGGACAAATGCATATGTGTGCCTTACGTGCGTGCATCAAGCATGAGAGTCTGTCTGGCTACAGCTTTGTCTGCCGACATGTAAAAATTCTAGCTATGCCCTTGAGGCTTCCCTGCTTCCGAAATAGTTGCTCTAAGCCTTGGCCTTCCCTTGCATGAGAAGGTCGACTTTGGATCAGAACCGGCGCCTTTGGGAGATGCGCGGCCACCTCCCTCGACGTGTCGCGACCGAAGGAAGAGGATGAAGAAGGAGCTCTAGGCTGTGTTGCCCAAGCCATCATCTTCAGAACTGAGGTGGCAGCCGCCGCCGCCGAAGTCTGGGGCCTTTAGTAGCGATCACCGCATTGTGACTTAGATGCGCAGGATGCGTGCAGCGCATGTTCTGAAATCGTTTCGCTGGCAATGGCTCCAGCTTGGACCCCTGCCGCATCTGCGGTCCAACATGTGCCAAACCAAGGGTCCGAAACGTTGCCACTCAGATGGAGGGCAACGAAACTCTCTGGATGCGATTGCGACACGCGGTAAGAACTAAGAAGTCCGAAGTAGCCCTGACATATCTGCAGTGGATGAATCCGGTTTGAGAGTTTATAAGGCTTGATCAAGCCCCAGACCGTGACTCAATCAAGCTATTTTGCTATTTTGGCCCATGGCTCTCCGTCTTGGGCTCGGCCTGTGGCTTTTGGCCGGCTTCTGGCAGGTCGGCAGGGGAGGGGAGAGGGGTTGTTGGGATGTTGCAGTGGCGTTTTCCCCCGGGGGGGGGGGGGCATCGGATTTCGGAAAGTCTCTGTCACACTGTACATGCATTATATAGATGCTCAAGGAAGCTTCCCTTGCCAGGGCCAAATAGATTTCTGAGAAGAGGCAGCCCTGCTACTGCCGCGGAGCTACGGCCCTGCGCATCCGACCCAGGCCAGAGCGGTAGCCACCGGGAGGCTTTCCAGATCGGAATTTGGGGGAAGTCGGATGATGCCAGCAGCCGAACTACTGTCGAACAAGGCTCTTGTTGGAGAATTTATTCTAACACCGATCCAAGTGTAGTTTCCGTACACAGGTGAATAGATACATAGATGACACAGATACTATACAGAGACTCAAGTGAGGCAGAGGTCAAGCGCTGTCGAGAGGGATGTGCAAAGCTGACATGCCGCATCGTAAAGTCGACAGCGACGAGGGTCCACTCGATTATGCCAGGAATGCTGGAAGCAACGGCCAAAACATCTCAACAATTTCAACCGAAAAGACGTATTGATATATGAGCAGACTTTTTGGTGTTTCTCGCCTTGGCTTCTGGGTGGTTGTTCTGCGAGAGACTATGCAGGCAAAGCGCCCAGCGTTTGGCATTTGGCCGCATGCAGAAAAGAGAAACTCAGCCTTGGCGGATGCGGTCACTTCCAAGACCAGGCGCCCACGCGTCCATCCCGGCGCTGCCGAGCTGAGAGCGACGTGGAGGAGGCGTGGCCATGGCCGACTCGCGAAGGATTCTGTGATCGTTCCAATGTGGGTCCGTGTTGTAGCTGGGCCCACCAGAAATCATCCCAGCAGGGATCGTGGCTGAACATGACTGAGCTAAGCTCATGACAGAGGAGAAGAGAGAATGGAGCGGTAACTCGTGAGTGGCTTCGTGTACGACAACTCCTCCTCGCAATTGTGCCCTTTCAGTGCCGATCATTCGCGTCGCTTTCGGCTCAAGACCCCGGATCTTGGGGAGCAAGCGTCCCAGAACGCACCCCAGAGGCATGGCAATTGTCAAAGCCGAGGACCCGAGAAGCGTACCAAAGTTTGGAATTACGTGGGCGACTTCAGTTGTGCAGGAAAGCCAAACATGGGTCACGTCATGTGTGTGGCAAACGGCAGGCTAGCGGCCTAGCAACCATAAGCTGCATTTGGCCGCAAGGAGAAGCCACTGGTTTCGGACCCGTCCACCCTGACCCCAGGGCAGGCCTGTCACAGAGTTGAGCGTTCCAGGGCTTTGCAGGACTGCTGCTGCCTGCGTGAGCCTTGCCTAGACAACGGATGCGCCGCAAATGTCTCAAAGTGAGGTAAAAAGTGGTCGGAGGTCGGAGTATGTTGGTATCAGCTACCTTCATCTGGGCTGTCTGACAGCAGTACAGGTAGGCAACTGCAAGCGAGATCGATGGAGGGAAACGAACACAAACGCAGGCCAAGACCACTCTCTCTCTGTCTCTCTCTCCCCCTTTCTCGCTCTTCCATTTCTCGCAGTGTTGTTGTCAGCATGATATCTCCTCCCGTTCATGTCGCCTTGCGGCTGTGCCGTAGCTACCACCGCATTATTTGCTGTTGATCGACATTGATGTTGTTTATACGCCTTTTGGACTCTCTTCGCTGAACAGGCTCACAACAAAAAGGCCACACTCCAGAATGGTCCTCCCTGTTCGAAGACATTTGTTTGCAGTGCTCCATTTAGAGGCTGACGAGACATGCGACTGCAGGTTGTAAGCAGAGCACCACACATCAGGTTAGCCTACGCAAATGTATCCGTCATTACACCGTACTTACTCCGCTATCTGCATCGCAAAGTAAACGGCCCAAGCTACATCGCCAGGCGTCACAGCTGGCAATCTACGAGTCTGACCTGTGGAAGAAGTCCTGCAGGTTGGATCGCTTGTCATTCTGCATATGGATTTCCGGACGTTTAGGGGTCCCTCTTTGAGGTATCTGATCTCTCTTGATTGAGGTCTAGAGTCTAAGAGTCGATGTTGGGGTCCCTAATGTTCGGCAGTGTGCGACATCTCTGAGAAACTATGATAGCGAACTACCAGTTGTTGGATGCTGCTGCAGCTTGTCGTCGTTTGCAGTGACAGCACGAACAGGAACTCAGCATACCTTTGCAAAGAGATCCACTACAACACCCTGGCGCGGGAGTGGCGCTGTATATGGAGCGAGGAGGATCAGAAGCGGTCTCTCACAGAACTGCAGCGCGTCCTAGAGGACTCCAGGGCTGACGCTTGGGCAGTTGCATGGAGTTTAGGTTGCTTCTGCACTTGAGCCCTCCCACACAAGGCTGAGTGTCCTTTGGGAGGACGTTGCTGTGCCTGCGCTTCGAAGAGTGCCTGGCCTCTTAGGCGTGCAGCGAATTGTCTGTGGATGTAAAAAGGAGTTCAAGATCATATGCAGCTTGGCTTCCCTCGCCCGACTTGACGTAGAGATCCACCAGTGAAAGTTCGACAAAACCACCCAAAACCTTAATCTGTAAGCCCATCTAAGCTGTAGTCTGCGGAACAAGGTAAGCTCGGTCTCGATGCCTTCGAAGACTGGTCCGGCCAGCAGTTCTTCCCGGAGGAAGAGACCCTCTGGTGGCACTTGGCAATCTGCTCTGACGATTTTTAATAGGTATTTAAAGACATATTATACCAAATTATGGAATATATCGTTATATAAAGTAGCTCTCATAATGTAGCAAAACAACACAACACAATATAGTATAATATAGTAAAAACAACATAGTATGATATTACATAACATAATGTAATATACCAGAATGTAACAAAATGGAGCATGGTATTTTAGATATAAGATGATCGAATATGATGTACTGTAATGTAATGCAATATAACATAAGGTAATGCAATGTAATGTGGTAGATCATAGCAAAATACAGCATGATATAGTATCATAGCTCCATAGCGTAATACATCATTATATAGTATAATTTAAGATGATATGGTATAATCTCTCTCTAGCTATATATGTATATATATATATACATACTCTATATATATATATACAGTCTTATTTAAGATGATATAGTATATGTATATGTATATGTATGTGTACATGTATACGTATATGTATATGTATGTGTATATGTATATGTGTATGTACATGGAAAAATGCATGCATAAGGTCTATGTGTATGTATAGGTATGTCTATATACATACATACACACACACACACCTATCTATATGTATGTGTTTGTGTATGTGTATATATATACATGTGTATATATATATATATATAAATACACACACACATACATACATATATATATATACACATACATGCATGCTTCGTTGTCGTGCTGTTGGGCTTCGGTGCCATACTTGCAAACAGTTGGATGGCAGCCCGAGGATGGTCCACAGGTGGCAAGCTATTGAAGGTGTCAGCAAGATCGAGGTCCAAACATTCAGCTTGGAACCTGTTTTTGGTGCTGGAAAGTGAGGGTGCGAAGGACGTCGGCTAGGCCTTTCTTCCGAGTGCGCTGCCATGTTGAGAGTCCCGCATGCATGGAGAGCATCATGAAGCTGTGTATTGAACACCATCGAAACACCATCGAAAGCCTCAGGTTTCTGGAGATACTTGATAACTCAGCCAATTGATTCGTACATCGCACAGCACGCCGGAGCTTCTTCTCATCCCGCATTCACGCCTGTTACCTCCCAAGCTGTGCACTAAGCAGTTGACATATGAGCGGCGTGGAGGAAAAGGGTGCTGCCGAGGCTGCCTTTGTTATGACTCCGAAGTACCACTGACCACCGCAGAGAGTGAACCGAAGACTCCGCTTCCTTCGAGGCGGCTCTCCTGGCCCGGCTTCGCGCCGCAGGGGACGCTGCAGCCGCCTCCGGCGAGGACTTTGGAGTGGAGGGCAGTGGGACTGTGGGGGGGGCGGGGGTCCAGTGCTGACCTAGTCTCGTTCGCAGGGTCTGCTGGCCCGTGAGTGTTACCAAGCCGCCGCAGGCCATCCTTCTTGGGGAGTCGGTTTCTCAAGGGTTCCAAGGATGCCTTTGGCCCTTAACATGCCGACCAGACGCTTTGGATCCTCGCCTGGCTTGTCCGAGTTGTGAGAGCGTAAAGGGCCTTGTAAGTGAGGGCTTTATACAGTGCGTACGATGGGAGAAGTGCCGACGGCGCTTTTGCGGAGTCTCTTCGTCAATCGAGGCCTCCTGGAGGGCAACGACGACAGCTCCCAATCCGACCGGGCTGAGGTCTTGATGAGGTGCACACAGCCTTGTGTCGCAAACGGAAGCAGCACTCTTTCGGGGTAGCAGTAGCATATGCAGATGGTTCGGGGCTGGTGGTCCACGAGTTTGAGAACAGGGTTTGGTTGGCTGGTTGGCAGATACTATCAGGCAGTGCTCTGCCAAGACAATATGACCGCCTTCGTGCGTCTGTATACAGTGTAGGTCACAACACCTTACGAACATGCATATTGCAGGATCGGCGACACGTACGTGGATGAGGAGGTTGCAGACCGTGCTCTCGCATCGTGATGAAATCGGAGCGGGGTCTGTGGAATCTGCTGTTACCTGACTTCCTTACATCCATGTTTATCGACAGTCGGAAGTTCACAGCCAACTCTTATTCGAGCCAAGCCTTCTGAAAGCCCCGCTGGGTGGCCTCTCCTACCACTCCTACCCCCACCCCGATCCCCATACGCCTACGCCCGCCCCTACGCCGACTCTCGCTCCTGCTCCTGCAGCTACTGCTGCCACTGCGACGACTTATGCTGCTGCTGCCGCTGCTGATGCAGGATGACTACGACGACTACGACCACGACTACGACGA